CCTGAATTTTCTAACAGTGGTGGTATAAGTATAATTTTCAAATTTAAGTTTTAATCATGACGGACTGTCCACTTGGGTTTTTCTCCTCTGCCTTGGGAGACCTTGTTACAATGATAGTAAAGAAGTTAAAAGATTACAAACCTATGAGAAAAAAAAAAAGAAAGCAAACTATCTCATGGTTGAAAAATTCCAACACATTTTTGGGAGAGGGCAAGCTGATGGAGGAGTGGTAACAGACCCACAGAGCTGTGAAGGAAGAGACCAGAAGGCCCTGGGCGGGGTGGTGATTAAAATAAAACATGTCACTTGTGGACAGGACGCCAGACTCCCCTCCTGGGAGACGTCGCTGACTCACTGTGCGTGCCCTCCAGCCAAGACACTCAGAAGTGCTCCTGCTTCTTTTCTCTCTGAACAAGGAACACTGTGTTTAACATCTCTAGCTTCCACTTGGGTCTGTGGGGAGCTTAATTACCAACTGAGAAGGTATGCGAACCAGTGGGATAAAAGACCCAGCAGGCCGGAGGAGGGTTCTTAGGAGTCATGCAATCCTTCACATCCCGTGGTCTCCTGATGCACCTAAGAGGTCAGCACTCTGGGTTTAGAGCTGGGTCGTGCAGTGGCAGAACTGTGGCCCAGTGCTCACAGCACTATCAGTAAAGGGCTGGGGCCCCTGCTCACTAAGGCATAGCCGACTCTTTGCAGCCCCATGAACTGTAGCCAGGCTCCTCTCTCCATGGCATTTCCCAGGCAAGAATACTGGAGTGGGTTGCCGTTTCCTCCTCTAGGGGATCTTCCTGACCCAGGGATCCAACCTGCGTCGCTTACGTTTTCTGCACTGGAAGGCAGATTCTTTACCACTGAGCCACATGGAAGGCCCCATCAGAACAGGACAGGGTGGCCAACTTGAAGACAGGAATGCATGTGAGATTCCCAGCTGGGATACCAGCCCAGGTACATCCTTCGGCATCTATTTCCCATCGGGCTAGTGGCCTGTCCTCCTTGGTCCCCCCCACCCCCCCTCCCCTCCGCCACCAGTGCCCCTGTTCCTCCCCAGATCTGAAGCCCTATCTTAAGCTCTTATTTATTATTATTATTATTATTAGCTGCACCAAGTGTCTTGTGGGATCCTAGTTCCCTAACAAAGGGTTGAACCCTGGGCTTTGGTAGTAAAAGTGCTGAGTCCTAACCACTAGACCACCAGAGAATTCACTTTAAGCTCTTATTTAGAGCAGGCTTCCCTGATAGCTCAGTTGGTAAAGAATCTGCCTGCAATGCAGGAGACCCTGGCTCAATTCCTGGGTTGGGAAGATCCCCTGGAGAAGGGATAGGCTACCCACTCCAGTATTCGGGCCTGGAGAATTCCATGGACTTGTATAGAACATGAGGTCACAAAGAGTCGCACACAACTGAATGACTTTCACTCACTTACTTGTGTCCTGCCTTTCTCCTACTTATCAAGACAAGTCTAATCTCCATACACTTGGAGCTCTGATGCCCTAGAAGTGTTGCTCAGAATGAAGTAGTCTCATCAAGATGTGGAAATGTGGTGCAGTAAACTGTTAGTATTGGCAGTTACATCTACTCAGGGGACAGACACACAGATTTGATTTGGAGAACTTGCTTGTAGGCTAGGGTCCAGTCTCTTTCCTATGGCCGGGAAACCAGATGGGGCTAAAAATATTCATAGATGTATTCAATTAATTGTCTTCATTCTTCCTTTGAGGAAATGAATTTCTAAGCCCAGAAATTTAACTTTGAAAACCACAGTCATCATTTATTGAAAATCCAATCTATAGGTAACTCCCTATCCTCTACTCTATGAAAATACAAAGAAATATAACCCCTACTTCAGAGCTAACTAAACTATTTATACTTCTCTTATTGTATTTTTTTAAAGTCTTAATTGAATCTTTTATAATGTTGCTCCTGTTCTGTGTTTTGGTTGTTTGGCTGTGAGGCATATGGGATCTTAACTCTCCAACCAGGGATCAAACCTGCACCTCCTGCATTGGAAGATGAAGTCTTAACAACTGGACCACCAGGGAAGTCCCTATATTCCTTTTTTTTTTTTTTAATTATTTATTTATTTATTTATTTTTTTATCACAACCATAGTGTATCTTTTTTTTTTTTTTTTTACATGTATTCCCCATCCCGGTCCCCCCTCCCACCTCCCTCTCCACCCAATCCCTCTGGGTCTTCCCAGTGCACCAGGCCCGAGCACTTGTCTCATGCACCCAACCTGGGCTGGTGAACTGTTTCACCCTAGATACCTATATTCCTTTTAAATATCTAAGCATTCTTTTTTCCATGAGGACAGGAACCATGTCTGGCTTATTTGCCCAGCATGTTGCATTCATTCATCCAGTAAATATTTACTGAACATCTACTATGTGCCAGAGCCCAACTCAGGCACCAGAAATACAATAGCAAATAAAAACAAGGTATGTCTTCTGGTCTGAGAGTCTAGAAAGACAATATGTGAATGAAGAAAGAAATCCATAACATGTAAGACAATGGTAAATGCTTAGGAAAGATAAAGAAGGGTAAGGAGACAAAAGTGGTGGAGGACGTTATTTTGCAGAGGTTTGTCGAGGGAGAGTTCTCTGATAAGCAGAAGTTCAAGTCTGCTTGAATTAGACTTGAATTAGGTGAAGGAATAGGCTGTGTGGAAGTCTGGAAGCAGAGGGACTTGGAAGTACAAAACCCTCAAACAAGGAGCAACCAACAGTGTGTGTTGGAGAACAGTATATGAATGGAGTGAGCAAAGTTGGGGTGCAGTCAGAAATGAGGGCTGGGGAGAGACTTCTCTGGTGGTTCAGTGGTCTTAACCAAATTTCCACTGCAGGAGGTGTGGGTTCAATACCTGGTCAGTGAACTAAGATTCCACAAGCTGCAGAGTGCAGCCAAAAAAAAAAAAAGGAAATAAAAAAAAAGAAATGTGAGCTGGGGAGAGGGAGCGGCATTGTCATGTAGGGCCTTTTAGATAAGAACTTTGCATAAGCTTTTCATGGAAATATGAGAAGAGGAAAGTACACAAATCATAAATGTACAACTCAATGAATTCTCACCAACTGGACACACCCATTTAAACCACCTTCCCAAATGAGTTTCAGAACATTGACAGCAACCCTGAAACCTCTCCTGCCTCCTTTGTCATTGTCCCAAGGATAATCATGACTTCAACTTCTATTACCATAGATTAATTTTGTCCATTTTTGAGCTTTGAGAAAATGGAATTGTACAGTATTACCCTTTGGTGTCTGACTTTGTTCAGTCTATGTTATGTTCATGAGACTCGTCCATGTTATGTACAGTCAGGCTTCATTATTTTTCATTGGTGTATGGTATTGCACTGTATGAATATCCTACAATTTCTTTCTCTATTCTACTACTGATCAATATCTGGATTGTTTCCAATTTGAGGGATACTTCAAATAATACTGCTATGAGCATTCCCGCTCATGTCTTTTGGAACACATGAGCATGCCTTTCAGTTGAGTAACTATCAGGATGGGATTCGGGGGTGCGGGTTTTTCTTTGGTAGAAATTACCAAACTGTTTTCAGATTTTGCTTTTCAATCTGAGTGAAAAGGGAAATCATTTGAAGGTTCAACGTAGAGAAATCACACAATCTGAACTACATCTTTAAAGGATCACATACCAGAAGTTCTTAAAGATTACATCTTCCAAATGTTCAGCATATGAAATAAAACCCAAGCTAACCAGAGCCAGCACTAAAAGCATGACTCCAGAGTTATATCTGTAGCCAGGACCTCTGCTCTGAACTATGCACCCATGTCTGCATAGTCTGCTTGACAACTCAACGTGGATATCTAACAGGCATCTCAAACTTTCTATGGCCAAAACCAACTTCTTGATATTCTGCCCTGGCCTACCTTCTCCGGCAGGAGTCCCCATCTTAATTCATAACAGCTCCATTCTTCAATTTTCCTGGGCTATACATGTTGGTGTTATCTTCATCTCCTTGTATTTTTTCCCACCCAATCTCCTAACAGCAGATCCTGTGAGCTCTATCTTCAGAATATTCTGGAACCTTTGCTCACCCCACCCTCTTCCTCTACCTCTCTAGGCCATCATTATCTCTCCCCTAGACTTTACTTTTTGGCCACGCTTATAGGCATGAGGGATCATAGTTCCTCAACCAGGGATTGAACCCCTCACCCTCTGCAATGAAAGCAAGGCATCTTAACCACTGGAACTCCAGGGAAGTTCCTTCCCTAAACTAAGGCAATCCCCACCTAAGTGGTTTTCTGTCACTTCTCTATTAAAACTCTCCTGTGGGGACTTCCCTGGTGAGTCACTGGTAAAGAATCCACCTGCCAATCCAGGAAACACAGGTTCAATTCCTGATCTGGGAAGACCCACATACCTTGGAGCATCTAAGTTCGTGCACCACAACTTTTGAGCCTGTGCTCTAGAACCTGGGAGCCACAACTACGGAAGCCTGTGCACCCCAGAGCCTGTGCTCCGCAACAAGAGAAGCTACAGCAGCTAGAGGGTAGCCCCTGCTCACCACAATGAGAGAAAAGCCTGAGCAGCAATGAAGACCCAGCGCAGCCAAAAATAAATACATAAATAAAATTATTAAACAACTCTCCTGTGGTTGCCCATGTCAGTCGCTATACTAAGTTGCTTCAGTTGTGTCCGACTCTGCGACCCTATGGACTGTAGCCCACCAGGCTCCTCTGTCCATGGGATTCTCCAAAGCAAGAATACTGGAGTGGGTTGCCACTTCCTTCTCCAGGGGATCTTCCCGACTTAGGGATCAAACCTGCATCTCTTATGTCTCCTGCATTGGCAGGCAGTTTCTGTACCACTAGTGCCACCTGGGAAGCCCTCCCATATAACAGTGACAAGCAAAGTCCACACCGCCACTCACAGCTGTGCTTCTCCGCTTCTCACTCCACTGCAGTCCCCCTGGCCTTTCCCGCATTTGCCAAACAGTCCAGGCCCCGTTCCACTTCCCAGCCCTCGTACCTGCTGCTCCCTCTGCCTAGGATGCTCTTGCCCGCAACTGATCACTCCGTTGCCTCCGACCATTCTTTGCTTCAAACTTCCTTTTGCAGCAAAGGTTCTCCAGGTCCCTGATGACGGCCCCATGCTTCCCGTCATACGCGACGTCTCGCATTTGCTTTCCCAGCTGTTTTCCCCGCTTAGCGTTTATCACTATCCTACATGCCATAAGTTTTCATGCGTTTTATCTTGTCTATCAGCTGTCCCGCCAGCGGATCATACATAATTGTCATGAGGACATTCATTTAAAAAAAAAAATTATTTTGTATTGGAGTATACTCAGTCAAGGGGTTCCTTGGGGTCTCAGACAGTAAAGGATCTGCCTGCAATGCAGGAGACCCGGTTCCATCCCTGGGTCGAGAAGATCCCCTGGAGAAGGGAATGGCAACCCACTCCAGTATTCTTGCCTGGAGAAGTCTATGGACAGAGGAGTCTGGCGGGCTACAGTCCATAGGGTCGTAAAGAGTCGGAAATGACTCTGTGACTAACACACAAAAGCATAGTGAACTAACAAACAACGTTGTGATAGTTTTAGGTAAACAGTGAAGGGGCTTAGCCATATATACATGTATCCGTTTCCCCCAAACCCCCTCCCATCCAGGCTGCCATAATATTGATCAGAGTTCCATGTGCTATACAGTAGGTCCTTGTTGGTTATTTTAAATATAGCAGTGTATACAAAGACATTGATTTTTATGTTCTGTTTATCTCCATAGTCTGGCATCTAGAATAAGTTTCGGTAGGGGCTTCCCTGCTGGCTCAGCAGTTCAGAATTCGCCTGCCAATGCAGGAGACGTGGGTTCAATCCCAGTGTTGGGAAAATCCCTTGGAAAAGGAAATGACAATCCACTCCAGTATTCTTGCCTGGGAAACCCCATGGACAGAGAAGCCTGGCAGGCTACAGTCCACGGGGTTTCAAAAGAATCAGACCAGACTTGCTGACCAAACAACAAACAAACAGCAGCATAGTAGGTACTCAAAAAAAGGTTTGTTGTTGGAGGGAATGAAAGTGAAAGTTGATTAGTTGTGTGTGATTCTTTGCGACCCCATGAGCTATACAGTCCGTGGAATTCTCCAGGCCAGCATACTGGAGTGGGTAGCCATTTCCTTCTCCACGGGATCTTCCCAACCCAGGAATCGAACCCAGCTCTCCCACATTACGGGTGGATTCTTTACCAGCTGAGCCACAAGGGAAGCCCAAGAATACTGGAGTGGGTAGCCTATCCCTTCTCCAGGGGATCTTCCAAACCCAGGAATCGAACCAGGGTCTCTGGTATTGCAGGTGGATTCTTTACCAGCTGAGCTACCAGGGAAACCCCAGTCGGAGGGAATGGATGGATGGAAATGATCCTTGCCCCGGGTCCTGTCTTGACTACCATGTGCCTGCGAGGCTGATAACAAACCAGAGGTGGTTCTAAGCATCTCCAGTGAGTTGGAGTCACCAATAGAAACATGCTCCTTCTCTAGCTACTCTCCCTTCCTGGCGTGCAGGGACCTGGGAAAAGCGGAGATGCTGATCGATATCTCTGACTGGGAAGGAAGATGGGATTAGGTACTAGAAATCAAAGGAAGGATGTCTCCGCCCGTCTGCTCCCAGCAGCAGAGGCTGCGATCTGCCTGGCAAATCGCCTGCTCTCAGAAACAGGATGTGTCCAGAGAGGAAGTGACTGCAGACGTGGTTGGGGTGGGGGGAGGGAAATGCCCTGTGCCTGAGACAGAACACTTGAGGCTAGTCATTCTGGAGCCTTCCAAGGGTCCATTCCTGGGGGGTGAGTAAATTCCGCTCCATGGTCCTGCGGTGACTCACTCTGTGTCTTGGGGAATGCGCGGCCCATCCCTAAGAAGGGAGAACAGGTGTTTCCTTCTCCAGGGTTCTCAGCTTGAGGGACTGGTGGCTGAAGGGGGATCAGGACGCTGATGCCAAGCCCCCAGCCAGCTCCAGTGGGCTGTGTGTTTAACCCGCTTCTATGCCAGCATTTTCCTGGGGATGTTATGAGTGAGGAAGTGAACACTCGGCGAGGCAGCAAGTCTTGGAGTTCTGTTTGCCGCCTGGGGGGAGGAATAACTCAGTGGCAGAGGGAGGAGAGGATGTCTGGGTTAAGGCTCTGTAGGAACTGTCGAAAGGAGTAGCTTTTTTTTTTTTTTTTTAACACACCGCATGGCATGCAGGATCTTAGTTCCCGTCCAGGGATCGAACCCATGCCCCTTGCAGTGGAAGTATGGAGTCGTAACTACTGGACTGCCAGGGAAGTCCCAGGAGGAGCTTTCTAGCAAGTGGTTTTACTAATCTTGGTTTCAGATAGAAGCCCACTGCCCGAGGATCTCTAGGAAACCTGCTTTCTGTACCTCCCCCCGGACTGGTCAAGGAAGCTGACTTGGCCTGAGTGAGTCCTGGGCCCTCATGCTCAGGCGCCCCAGCAGAGGAGTTTCCCAGCTTTACGGAGGTGTTCCAGCCTCAAGACCATGGAAGCTGCAGCCTGATGTCTTGTTTGGCAGCCAGAACAGAGAGAAACAGTTCCTGCAGACTCCTCACCTTGGTTCTGCCCTGGTGGGCTCCAAAATTTGGACTCTGTATTTTGGTCAAAGGGCATTAATGTCATAAAACCCGTACCAGGAAACTTCTGATGAAAACCAGCTTGGCTATTTAAGAATCACAAACAAAGTGCTCAGCGTAGGAAAGGGAAAATGCATCAATTTAAGTTTCCAGAAGAACAGAAAAAGCAAGAAAACTTGGCGTGACCTCAGCAATCTCCAGACAAGCTCTGGGACTTGTGTTTATGGTGAAATGCAGTGAGCAGCTCAAAGCTTGGAATGTTATTATGAGCATTATGATTATTATAATAAAAGCTGTGATTTTCTTTTCTTCTACTCTGAATATCAAAGCAAGCATCTTTAAGCTTGTCTTGGATATGAGGTTAAAGACAGCAGGAGGTATCATCCTGGCAGGCTGCTTCTAATGCATTTATTTACAGCAAAGCGCTCCTACGGTGCAAAGCATTCTGCAACCCACTTTTTTGCTTAAACAATTAGTCACGAGCATCTTTTCATGTCAATATATATACATCCACATTTTTCTAGGTGCTTCCTGTAAACTGAGAAAGAAAGGGATCCTCCTTGATGGAAGACATGCAGTCATCTTGGGAATAGCCTGGGGGTGGGCCCCAAAGTGGGGGCTTCCCAGGTGGTGTCATGTTAAAGAACCTGCCTGCCAGTACAGGAGAAGCAAGAGACACAGATTCAATCCCTGGGTCAGGAAGATCCCCTGGAGGAAGGTATGGCAACCCACTCCAGTATTCTTGCCTGGAGAATCCCATGGGCAGAGGAGCCTGGCATGCTATAGTCTATATAGTGTCACGAAGAGTTGGACATGACTGAATTGACTTAGCACACATGCAGGGGCCCCAAAGCAGGCATCCGTTCTGCTAAATTCTCTGCTAAATGTTCCCATAGGAGGAGCACACCACCCCAGCTCTCGGTCACATGTAGTAGAAACTGGTCCATCTTTTGTCTGAGCTCTGTGTGACAGCCAGGAAGGTGGGAAAACACCTCAAGTCTGTCTTGAGTTTTCCCTCCTGTAATTTCCCCTCGCCTTATTCCAATCTCACTTTTTCCTTTCTAGAAGCTGGAGAGGGAAAGTAAAGTAACTGATCTTCCTGGTCGAGTGAACAGCCCTACTGGTTTGTCTGAGAATGAGGGTTTTTCCCAGGACATGAGACTTTGAATTTTAAAGCCAGAAGAGTCCCCAGAAAACCAGGGAGGGTTAGTCACCCTATTCCCAGAATCAGGAGGGGTGAGGGGAGACATGGTCAAGTTTCCCTGAGTTTCTAGAGATCCCCTTTTCACAGTTCCACTAAGATCAGGTTGGAAGTTTCTGGAAGGCACATTCTCTGAGTTTCAACCAGGCCTCTTTAGGTCCCACGTCTACCCTGCAAACAATCTCCAGGACAAGAGATCGATGCCTTGGAGGCAGAGGAGAGCTAGCCACCAGGAAGACGACCCGCTGAGGACACTGACTGTTTCCTGATCTGCAGAGGCGTCGCACATCTGAAGCCAGCTGTGACCTCTCCCCAGACTCTCCAATTTGTCCTCTCATGAAATGGCTTCATCTCGCTGAGCCTCAGTTTCCTCATCTGAAAGTGGGAAGAGGATTAGAACGCAGTGACCTATGTCAGGTCCCTAGCGAGTGCTGGAGAAATCCCTGGTGATGTTTGGAGGGAGCTACGAGGTGCCAGAGCAGAGGGCAGGGGACAGCACCGCAGACGGTCATGGTGTCACCCCGCCACACACCCCCACAACCCCAGCTAGGCAGTTGCCCTCATCCCTCCAGAGCCAGCTTACCATTCTCTCATCCATCCACGAAAGGCAGCAAGCTCAAGGGCCTTTCAGACCCTCCAGGTCATTTTGGTTAGGAGGTGGCTGGCACAAAGTTTTACTTATTAACTTGAGGGCCCAGAAGTCACACTTTGTAGAAACACAATGTTCATGCCAGTGTCTCTGACCACAAACCCCAAGAGTCTAAATGTTGAGACACTCAGGAAGTCGAAAGGGTCCTCTCGTCTTCAGAGGCCCAGCCCAGCTCACAGGAATGGCATGCATCAAAAGGCAGGAAGTCCCTGCAAGTCTGTCCCGTCAAGCCACCAGACACTGGTCACCTTTATGTGGCTGTGCAAAAAGTCAAGTTCTCAGGGAGAGGAGAGGTGATCTGGGAACTTCAGGGCTGGGGTGGAACCCATGTCTGAGTATCAAGGCCACCACAGGAAGCCAGGCTTCCCTCTGTCGATAGAGGGACTAAGAGACGAACCTTGACTCCCTCATGGGATAAGTGACTTTTTGGTCTCTGTTTCCTTTTCTCTCTGTTCTTTCTTTTTCTTTCTTTTTTTAAAAAAGAAATTTATTTCTTTATTTGGTTGCACTGGGCCTTAGTTGTGGCATGCAAAATAGTTGTGGCATGTGGGATCTGGTTCCCTGACCAGGGATCGAACCCAAGGCCCCTACATTGGGAGCGAGGAATTCTAGCCACTAGACCACAGGGGAGTCTCTCCTCCCTTATTTCTTTCCTTTTTGGCATACATTCTCCAAGGAAGTAT